ACTTTCGACACCAACGTTGCTAGGTGCTCTAGAGGTTGCTGCTAACATCTCGTGTTGTTGTTGTTGACTCTGCCTCATCTCAGCTTGTAGCTCTTGCATCTGCTGCAACATCATGTTGAGTTTCGCCTCCATTGTCGTTTGCTGAATTTCGCCCGCTTCCATTGGTTGTTGCTGGATTGTCGTATTTAAGTCATCCAACCATTCGACGTCGCCGCCTGATGCGCTGCCCTTGCTTCCAGAACGCGTGTTTGGCATGACAATGCTTGTTACCGATGGATCTTTCTTCACCAAGAAGAAAACAAAATATTATGGCTGGACCCTCTTAAATCTTCAAGTTGTGACTCGCTGACGCTATCACCGATGAGGTTTAATTCAAAATTTCGAATTCGTAGAGCAAAATAAATGTAGGAGTTGAGGCGCAAAACCGATTAAAACCGCAGACCAAAGACCATTAAGCAGACGAATGTTTTTTATTTTCCTCAATTTGTAAAGTCAAAAGGTACAAAGGGATTGAGACGTGGATCGATGATGTCAACGCAGACCAACAACGATTAAATAGGTTTTCTTATTAGTAAGCATAAAAAATTACATACGTATGCGCTGCGAAATAATCCAATTACAAGGCAGACCAACGGGAGCGATTGGTTTTTTCATAAAGATCGCAAAGAAAACATATTAGCTGAGGCGCAGATCGATGCTTGCATATGCGCACCAATGACCAATTAAAACTCTAGTTTATTTTTTAAAAATCGTAAAAAAATGTTGTGGTTGTAGACTGAAGAAATATTTAAATCCGCACAACAGTAATCCCTTGCAAGCGACTGGTTTTATTTCTCCAGCTCGCAGGAAGACAAAATGAAGAAGTTGAGTTGCAGAGCAATATTCTGACTGCGCACGCTAATGCTCAACTGGACCACGCAGGTTCGTAAAAAAATTCAAGTTGGAATAATGGTAGTTAAAAACGTATTAATATTTTCATCTACACGCCAGTAATGGCTAGGCAAACTCGTTTACTTGCAAACTCGCAAAATATTTTGTATATTGCTAGGTAAAAACAATGCTTAAATTCGCCTATGAATAATTGTGGTTCAAGAAATTACTTTATGTTTTTGGTTTTGTTCAATATCCGCATTTTTGTAGTCGCATGCATATAATATTATGCCTTTATTATAGAGGCGCAATTTTTTAGGCACACCCTAACCTTCGTACGTATATATACACGCTATCTTGCGCGTTACTGCTAACTGTTTTAGGTGCTGTTATGCCTGACTGTTCCCGTTATGTACATCCACGTTAAAACACACTGGCGAACCAACCCCCATACATTTTCACAGAGGTACTCACCTGATGTCCAAAACGCTTACACATGTACTTGCCGGATTCTTGGTGTCCTTTCCTTGCAGGTGCTCCGATGCTTACAAAACGCTGCCAATACTATGATGATCACTGTGTTAATGTATGCCGCCGGGACTCCAGTGCCGGCGCTGGAACTTGCAGTGTACTATAACTGGTAGTGTACTGGAACTTGCAACATGCCACAATACTGTTGATGGAGCCCACTAAATGATGAGTAGCTCCTTTTTGCCAATGTACGCCAACTGCTTAATTGCTTTTCGAGTTCCCTCGCTGCGACCACTACTGCCAAACCGTTATGCAAAAGAACTTTTCA